CCCCAAAACCCCAAAACCCCAAAACCCCTTTTTGAGTGGGAATTACTAACGAAAATATATTAGGAATAGCCGATTACTTTCTGGCTGACCTTCTCAGAGGAGAAGTTATAAGATTATAAAAGAAATACTGTTGTCTCTTGAACAAGAATGTTAATAGCATCATAATGCAGAACACTCCTATCCAGAGATTAAACAGAAAATTGCAGTCTGACACAGGAGTCTGGTCGATGTAGTGAGGTTCATTCAAGTGACTCATCTTTACTCTTGATTCAATAGGCTTTAACTCAAAAGGTACTCTTGGGTTGCTACATGTAGTTCATAGCTGAGTTGAGTCTATGTAATATGACTCAGACACAGAGTATCCTGTGAGGCACATCACCATACACATTACAATAGTCAGAGACAGCATCAGTCCTTTCTGGAGCATATCTCCAAAGCCGCCTTCTTCTTGGGCAAAGATCGAATCATTATTATTTCTTATAAGCTTCAACATAGTTTCTTCAGGAGAGTTGTTTTTATCAGTAAACGATTGAGAATCATCAATATCTTTCTCATCAAAATCGAGCTCTAGCTCATTCTTAGCTTCATCAGGAGTATCGGTTGATATAATATTAGACTCCTCCTTTCTCACAAATTCCTCTTTCTCACCAGTTTTAAAACGCTTGTTAGCCCCAAAAGAGGTGATAATCGAGAGTAAATTCTGCACTTGATCCTGAAGCTGGCGCTTTTCAGCCTTTAAGACCATATTTTCCTTCTCCATTTTACTAGACTTATCTTCGATCTTTTGTAAGCGTGACTCGACAGTCTCCATCTTATTAGCTCTCTTGTCTCTCGCTCTGAGGGCAGATTCTCGGTTTTGCTGTCTTTTTCTGGCTTTCTTATATCCTTCAGGATCCTTATCATACTCAAAAACACCGTATTGGTCTCTAATGACCTGGTTCTTATACTGATCCGTCTTCTTCTTCCTTCTTCCCTTAGACTTAGTTGAGGTGGAGTCTTTTCCACTAGAAACAGCGTCTTTTGATTTATCCTTTTCCTTAATGACCCTTTTCCTGCCCTGCTTATGACCCTTTTTATCAGAAAGTGCTTGGGAGGTATCTGAGTGGTTAAAGTTGATTTCTTCCTCGCTCTGGGATAAGAACCGAGAGGAAGTACCTTCATTCTGAGAGTCATGTAACGTATCCTTGCTCTTGAAGGTACTTCCTTGCTCATAGTTTGAGTCGATAGATTCAGACATTTCCATAATGTTTTAAATTTATTATTTAGAATTTGATTATTTTTAAGTATTTTTCATTGTTAGTCTGAATCAGACATTTCAACAACATTTTGGAAAGAAGGGGTTTTGGGGTTTTGGGGTTTTGGGGTTTTGGGGTTTTGGGG